CCACCTTCCAGCCTCCTGCAAAGGTGACATTTGGATGGGCCCCGCTCTCTCTGGGTCTAGCTCTCCACTCCGTCCCCACTGAGCTGGGGCCTGAGGACTGACAGAGAAGCAGACGGAAAAGATGAAAAGCTGATACCTCCCGCAGGAAATAATTGTCTAGCTGATTCCAGAACTGAAAAAAAAACGAAGTATAACATTGGAGAAAGGAGAGCAGAGTGCCATTCAAGGCCATTGTTACAGCCTCCTCTCTGTGTATCGGGGGAAACAAAGAGGCCCTGTGTGTGAGGACAATGCCGTGTGTTACCAGCCACTTCTGTGTTGCTCCTGGGGACGGAGGGGGAGAAACGAGGCCACAGTGCCCTCCCAGCCTGATGCGCTCTGGACTTCACTAATCATACCCACCAGGCTCGTCAGAGCCGGGAGGGGAACTTTGGACTCCCAGCTCATGGCGTTCTCAAGTGGGAGGACAGGGGACACCCCCTGGGGAGTGAGCCACTGGGTACACGCTAGTCTTCCGGGCATCACAAATTGCCAAATGCCCCTCTCGTCTCCCTCCCCTCTTCTCTCGCTAGCTGTCAGAGACTCACCACAAGTTAGAGCCGAAGAGAATCAGATATCATCTCTCCAAACACATATGTCATCTATTCCACCTCCCGGCTTCGCTGAAGGGCACCTGGCCAGGGCCGCCCAGCTGGGGAGCGGAGAGCAGTGGCAAGGCCAGGTGACTCATCATGCGGCAGCCTCCGCTGAGTGCCCCTAATGGACCAGGCACTGTATCGTGAGCGAGCTCACAAGATGACCTCATTTGCCCCTGCGTTCCAATCCTTGGTCTGCCGCTAATTACCCATGGATTGTGAGTTTGATTTCTGACCCTTAGTTTTCTCACTTGTAAACCGGGATTATTCTTGGGTCCCTGTGAGGACTGAATGAGTTTACACACGCGAAGCTCTTAGAGCAGCGCTTGGTCCGTACAAATCACTTGAGAAGCGCGAATGGGAAATTAGATGTCCACACCTGCAGCTTGTGTGAGGGCACAGATAGCGGGAACTCCAGGATCTCAAGTACAAACCCAGTCTTGCCATCGACTGTGGCCGAACTTTACCCCACTAGGTCGCTGAGGGAAGCTGGGCACTAACGAATACTCCTGGGCAGGGGTGAGGCCGGTGACAACGTGTGCGGAGGGCCAAGTGTGACATAACAGGGAGCAGTGGGGACAGTGGGGATGCAGAGACAGCCCATGCCCATCTTCGGGGGGCAACTGGGGCTCAGCTCCAGCCAAGTGCTGCAACGTGGCAAGGCCACGTGGCATGGCGAGGCCAGTCAAGTTTTAGAGAAAAGCCAGAAATCTGGATTTTGAGGTCACGTTTCCCAATTTTGAAATACTGCATAAACTAAGACACTGTTAGTGCGAAGGGACCCCCCCATCACGCAGCTTGTGTTGCCTGATCCGGACACAGACAGCACGTCCACGCCAGTGTGCACCTGTCATTTTCAGGTCTTCCGTCCCCAGGTTGCCTGCAGTCTCCCAGCGAGCTGATCGGGGCACCTCACAACCAGTCTTTGACTCAGAGCAGGTGGCCTAAGACCAAAAAGGGTAAGCCACCCCTTAGCTCCTTCTCTCCATGGACACACACCCTCATCTCAGTCCATGAAATGGGGGCGAGGAAAAGGGAAACCAGGGAAATGAGGGGCTCTCCCTAAAGGGCCACAGGCCCCTCGGCCTAATCTGCCTCCTGCAGGCAGTCCTCTAATGAAGAAGGCAGCCCGGACTTGGTGGCAGGACCCAAGGGTAGACTGGGGTTTTAAACCTCCATGAACTCCATCAGTCACCTCAAATGACCATCAGTAGCCTCAATGACACATGCGCTTGCCATGCACATTTCAACTGGAAGCAAGCTTGCTCATCACACCACCTCACACCCACAGGACGGCTATAACCAGACAGACGGATAACAACCAGCGGCGGTGAGGATGTGGGGAAATTGGAACTCTCAGATGTCGCTGATGAGAACATAAATGGTGCAACCACTCTGGGAAACGGTCTGGCAGTTCCCCAAAAAGTTAAACCCAGAGTGACTCTGTGACCCAGGAATTTCACTCCTGGGTATACACCCCAAGAGAAAGGAAAATAGGAACCTATGCAAAAGCTTGCTCAAGAGTGCTCGCAGCAGCATCACTCATGAGAGCCAAAAGGCAGAAATGAGCCAAATACCCATCACTCGGTGAATGGGTAAACAAAACGTGATCTCACCATACAATGGAAATTACTCAGCAATCAGAAGGAATGAAGTATTGATACATGCTACACAATATGGACGATCCTTGAAAACAGGCTAAGTGGAAGAAATTGATAAAAACAGTCACGTGTGATTCCGTTTTATATGAAATGTCCAGAACAGGCAGATAGAGAGGAAAGGAGATTAGTGGTTCCCTGGGGCTGGGGTGTAGTGGGGAGAGAAGGCGGGATGCTAGCTAGAGTGTGTTTTTTCTTCTAGGTGGTAAATATGTTCTTGCATTGTGTGATGGTTACACAACCGTGTGAATATACCCAAATCCTCTGAATTGTACGCTTTAGGTGGGTAAATTGCATATGTGATTTATATCTCAATAAGGCTATTAGCAAAGAAAGAAAGAAAGAAAGAAAGAAAGAAAGAAAGAAAG